TGGATGTAATAGTGAGGTGGACTCGGTTACTCATTCTGACAAATACAGGTATTCTTTTATTCCATAAACGCAACTGTAAAAGTGCATCACAGATGGAAAACACGAAATTAGGGTGCAGAAAAAGAGAGATGCACTGTTAACGAGCGAACCCCGTGGAGGACACCCCTGTCCCCATTCGCCCAACTCATCATCACCATTCGCTTGTTGCCATTCTAAATCGCAACATCTGACACAAACCACTCATTTGGTGCACTTCAATTCTGAAGATAACAATCAGTAACGAGCGCAGTCTTTCATTGGCAACCAGTCGTGGTTGAACTCCATGCACTTACAGAGCAACAGCTGCACAAAAAACCAGTTTATCCAGTTCAGTAAAACACTTTGACACCGGCTTCTCGCGAACAACCGCATCCATGCTTCAGCGAAACGCATAAAAAAACACTCGAGCGCCAAACGAAACAGCTATGCTGAGGCCGGACAGTCTAAGCCAGGCAAATATGCCTGATGCGAAACGTTTCAAGGGTGATGTGTATACGATTTCAAGGACCGAAACATTCATGTTTAGCTGCTTAATTACAATTTGACGCTTGTCTCCTAAATTTTGGTAAAATACGCCTTTAGACCATTTCAAATTTCCCAGTGCTAGACGATAGAGATATTGGTTCAGTGTCAAAAGCCCATTCCCTGGGATCATTCGGGCTGCTGTTTAGAACTGTCGGTGTTACCGCAATGCATATAGGCGTCATGTAGAACTTTGGTCAAGCCCTCCTTTGCTAGCCTACGGTATGAACCCTCATAACCTTAGAATGAGATAATGAAGCAATATGAAGCAAGCAGACATCAATTACAAAGCGGCGGATTAATCACAAAGTAAAGCGCACGGGTAAGCGCAGGTTGAGCGCACTGGTAAAAGCATGGTTAGGTACAAGGGCAAACGCATAGTTAAGCGCACAAGTAAGCGCGTGAATAACTTTTTCCATATTAAACTGCAACAATTCGATAGCATTCAAGCGATTTTTAAAAAAAGAGCGGATCAATGACCATGACTGGCCGCAGAACCTGAAATAACTCGGTCGATGTATATTATGATGTAATAAAATATGCTGCGGGCTACATCCTCATCAAAAACAGTCCCTCGGGATTTTGCAGAAAAAGGAGTTTCAGCAGCTCTCCAGCAGTTTTCAGACCGACATATCTGGCCAACCACGAGATTCCTCGCAAAACAAGCATGCTGAAATTCAGTGGAGAAAAAATATTATTATTATTATTATTATTTGGAGGTTAAACGAATAAATACCCCAGGCTTTAGATTGAGGGAGCAGGAAAATGTCGAGACTTTTAGCATGCGATTTAGAGCATTGGTGCATTAGCTTAAATGAAGGCACTTTGTAGTGCATTTTTAGTTGCTTCTATATTACGTAGTCAAACTTCTTCGTGAAGAACACATCCAACAATTGCAGTAGCATGGTATCAAAATAACTGAAAACAAGTTTTCTTCCAGTTCATTAGTTTCAGAATCGTCCCAGTAAAAATTGCTCGATATACCGACAATTCAGCGGCCGAGCTTGGCTTTGAAATCTCGAAGCGAGTTCGGGGAGTTGTATAGCTTCGAAAGAAAGCAGTCTAATAACAGAAACACCACCGAGCTTGTCGAGGGATGTTTGGGAATATTGAAACGCAAAATTTCAAAATTGTAATAGCATCTGAGAATACACGGCTTAGGAGCGCAGGATATAACTCTAGTTCCGAAACACTTAATGAAGTGCGAAGAAAGTCCAAGAAATGCTAGTGAAATCACTTGGGGAACGAAAACCTTTATATTAACAAATCTGCTGCTCGGATAAATGGCGATGTGCTTGGAAGACGAGAAGAGGAGTAGAAGTAAATACTAGGGGATTACCGTGATTTCGCGCTTCTGTTCAGGACACGCTACCTGATCTTCCTCCAGATATATTGGTTCTGAGATATAACTCCCACATATTGCAAGTGCTGTTGGCTCAGGAGGCCATGCACGTAATACCAAACCTCCTAAAAGATGAGGACTATAAGACCATTTTCTATCCTTAATTCTGTACACAGCTGGAAATTATGCCTTTCGAATGATCGTCCAAATCCCGTCAAAAAAAAAAATCGCCGGAAGAAAGTGAATTAGGTGTTTGTAAAAACATATCTAAAGAAATGGGAGCAAAATTGCATGTTTTCGTGCTTCAAAAAATAAAAGGACGTGAAAGCTGAATTGGAATTTTTGGATTGGCACACAGCCGAAAATTGTGCCCCAAAGACTGCTCAACAAATACAAAAACCAAAAAAAAAAACACTCATGTTTACGAAACTCGCCTCACAGCATGCGGTAATTACAGCAATCTAAACAATAAACTCAGTGCATCTGAGCAACAAATCACTGACACATTTTTTACGACATCTTAAAACCCGTACTTTCCACTTCGTTGCCTTCAGTTCATTTAATTGTGAAGATCTAAATCCAGGAAGTCCAAGATGGGTGTTTTACTGCTGAGGTTTTAAATTATGTCTGGTGTTTTTTCCTGACTACCCGATCAAAATGGAAAGGAATGAAAATCGAAAAAAAAATCGAAACTTGGGTTTGGGCGGAAAAAATTTGGATTTCATGTTATCCCTTCACTTGTTGCGATCTGCTCTCATAAAGTTGGTAGTTAGATGTCAATGCATGTGAGGACAAAAGGATGCCAGAATTGTGGATTAACGGCCGTTCTATTTCA